AAAACACTGCAATATATAAACAGAATTTGGATAAATTTTTATTGTGTATCTTCAAATAGATAATACACAATATTTTAGTAGAACATTTTGCAGTAAAAAGTGTCATATAATTTTGGGTAAGAGAATAACAGACTATTAAGAAAAGCTTATCATACCGAGGATACAAGAAACTGCATATTCATTTTAACATTTGAAACGTATCCAAGAAGGGTTGTCAAAGAGTACCATAGCACAGTTAGATATAGTTTAGCCTAAATGACAGCACCAACTGTGTTGCCTCACATACGTATAAGATTCAGAGGATACATAAAAATCAAATATGATTCAATATTAACATGGTTTCCTTCTCTTCTTCTATAATCTTCTCTGCTTTTTTTCTCAGTTTCGCAATCGTTTTCTCTACTTTGTATTGCTTTCTCTGTTATGCTCTGTTTTGGTCCATATTCTGCAATTTTTCCTCTGTTCTATAATTTTTTTTATTGTTCTGTCTATGTTCTCACTGTTAAGTTTTCATTTTTTGGGTAAATTATATAAACTTGTTAGTTTAAGAATTGAAAGATTTTCTAAATATGTTATTTCTATTGAGTTCTTGGTTATTTATCTATGCATATTTGATTTTTTTTATTTTTTTACTAAATAGTGCTTTAGTTGAAAAAAGTGTGTGCTTCGCTTCTTGCTTTGGTGAAGCAAGACCTTGTCGCTTTTTTTGGCTTCTTGCTCTCCAAAACACTGCTCTTCCAGCATTGCCATTTCCTTAGAAATAACTATTATCCTAGGTGACAGCTTTTGGTGGTCCATGGCTCGGGCTGGGTCGACTTTTCAAAATTTAAAAGTATGTGGTACTATAAACGTGATTAAACTCTTCTGTTTACTGTTCAAAATGTATAGCCTGCTAACGATTAAAAAATCCATATCTCTGTTTAATATAATTTTAGATGTGGGAAAAATGTTGTATATTAATCTATCAAATATAAAATTGCACTAAATCAATACCTATGGTTAACGAGGTTTTTCATGTGGAGTTTTGATTGTGAATACATGTTCTTTCCCTATGTATCATCTACTTTTACAATCCAGTTGCTTGTTTTCCCTGAAACTCCGAAGTCACTGCCTCTCTGTATCATTCTTCCATGTTAGTACCAGAGAATTCACCTAACAAATTTAACAGCTTTGTTACCCATGTTATTTCCCAATCATTAAGTAGCCTCCAGAAAGTCATATTCCAACATTGTAATGACCATATTTCTTGTTTGCCACACTTAGGGCTAATACATCCTTTTTTTTCTACATGTATTTTTTCTTTCATAAAATGGATGAACTCTTTGAAATAGGCAATGTATATTATTGGAAAGACTATACTGAAATTATGTCTATATGGTTGCATGTGGCCTGTTGATTTTTATAAGCTCTTTGTTGTATTTCATATTTTCTTTTCTGTGAAGTGTATCTCATGTTCATATAGTTATTTCTTGGTTGTTGTAGGCTTTGATTCCAAATATGTTGGTGGTGGTGCTTGTTATTGTTGTTGAAAGTGTCTCCAAAACTATTCTTTTGAAGGCTCTCTGTTGATTTCATTTGTAAGGTACGCTTTTTTTTCTTTTTCTAAACCTTTCTTCTTTACTGATGTGTTTTTGAAAATATTCCAAGTATTTGTCTCAATTTTTTTGGCCATTTGTTATGCTATGTTTTTTAGTCTAGCTTTATTGGCCATTTTTTAAGAGGTACTGTTGGTTGCGATCTTTTACTGTGTTTCATCAACAATGGTATGAGCATCATAAAATGTTGAACTATCACGCACTATCAAAACTTTGATGTGTTCAATATAGGTAATAATAAGTTCACTACTGTAACAAAATTTAAATGCTACAAACCAAAAAATATAAAATATTTCACCTTTTTTCTTAAGTCTTTACATACTCTTCTTCTAATATAATCAGATTAGATTGTAGGACCTCTCTAACCTTTGTTTATAGTTTTATAAATTTGTTGTGAACCTACTTTGTATATTCAGTTCATAACCATAAACGTAGAAACTATTTGGTCTTTTACTATTGATGTTTAGAATATACCTGAAAAAATTATTATTTTGAAATATTTGGTCTTTTACTATTATATGTTGGATTTTCTTGAATTGCTAGTGTTTTGTCATGTAATTTGGACTATTCCAATTTTTGTAACCTTTTTATTACCATCTTGTGAATATTTATGCGTGTTTCTTGTGTAAGTATATATTAAGTGTTTGTTTCTTTATTTTTTGTTGTAATACGTATATAACTATATGCATCTATTGTGTATGAATGTATAACTCTAAAAGTAAATATCTAATTAGTACTATTTTGTTGTTATACTAATGTACTATTATATCTATTTTACATGCATGGAGATAATGGCGCCTAATAAACAATGGATGGAACTCATTAAAGATAGACTTGCTATTGCTTATATAGATGGGGTGGGACTTTCTTGGATTATGCTTTTACAAAATTAGGAGAACCGCTGTTGATACGTTGTCCATGTATTAAATGTGGTAATGCAACTTCTAGAACACGTGTTGTAGTTAGGTTACATTTAATAGTACATGGGATAATACCAAGTTATACTCTTTGGTATCACCATGGGGAGATGTCAGGTGAAGAACAATCAAATTTTGAAAAAATAGATGATAATGACATTGAAGAGGATGATGGTGAGGATGAAATTGATGGTTTGCTGAGAGATTTGTAGCCCGATTTTAATGGAGATAATATGAATAATAGTGGTGATGATTTGATGGAGGAGGAACCAAATGATGAAGAAAAAAGATTTTATAGGCTATTGAAAGATCTTGATCTACCATTATATGAAAGTGCAAAAGTTTCTAAGCTTTCTACTTTGGTTAAATTGCTTCACCTTATAAGTATTGGTCATTGGAGTAATGAGTCATTTACGATGTTGTTGAAGTTTTTGAAAGATGATTTATTCTTGGATGGAACAAACTTGCCGGATTCGTATTATGAGGCGAAGAAGGTAATTCGAGATCTTGGGCTTTCATGTAAGAAGATTGATGCATGTAAGAATGATTGCATGTTATATTGAAAGGATGATAATTGTCTCCAATCTTGCAAAGTTTGTGGTGTATCTAGATGGAAGTATGATAAACATAGTAGGGAAACAAAATTGAAAAAAGAAAAAAAGATACCATGCAAGATTTTACGTTATTTTCCTCTAAAGCCAAGGCTTCAAACATTATTTATGTGCTCAAAGATATCTCCTTTGATGTCATGGGATCATGACAAAAGAGTTGATGATGGAATAATGAGGCATCCAGCTGATTCAATGGCATGGAAAAAATTTGATGAGCTTCACCCATCTTTTGCTGCTGAGCCTCGTAATGTACGACTTGGACTTGCTAGTGATGGTTTCCAACCATTTGGAATGTCGAAAACTCCGTACAACATTTGGCCCGTGGTACTTATTCCTTATAATTTGCCACCTTGGCTTTGCATGAAGCAAAGAGAACTTTATTTTGTCAATGCTTATACCTGGCCCTGAGAGTCTTGGTGATGCAATTGAAGTCTATCTGCAACCTTTGATAGAGGATTTGAATGAATTATGGGAAAGTGGAGTCGAGACAATCGATGCATCAACTAGAAAGAATTTTACGTTACATGCATCTTTGTTGCAGACCATTAATGACTTTCCAGCATATGCAAATTTGTCTGGATAGAGTACAAAAGGAAAACTGGCTTGCCCATGTTGCAATAAAAAAACACACTATACAAGGCTAGTAAATGGCCAAAAACAGTGTTATATGGGCCATAGACGCTATCTTTCTCTTAATCACAAATGGAGAAAGGATAAACCGTCATTTGATAACACTATTGAGCACAGACTACCGCCTGAAATGTTGTGTGGTGATGATATTCTTGATCAGGTTGCTGATTTAGATGGGTTGCCATTAACAAAGGATCCACAGAAGAAGATTAAAGTATCACACAAGAAAAAGGGTTATAACTGGAATAAGAAGAGTATATTCTTTGATCTTCCATATTGGAAAACCTTATTGTTGCGACATAATCTTGATGTGATGCACATTGAAAAGAATATATGTGACAGTATTTTGGGGACATTCTTAGATGTCCAAGGGAAAACAAAAGACACATGGAGTACTCGGTTGGATTTACAACAAATGAAAATACGAAAAGAATTGGATCCAATACAAAATGGAGATAAATATGAGTTGCCAGCAACACCTTACACATTATCTGATGAAGATAAGCAAAAGTTTTTCAAATTTTTGAAGAATTTAAAGGTCCCAGATGGATTTTCCTCAAATATTTCTCAGTGTGTCAATCTTAAGGATAAAAAAAATTTAGGATTAAAAAGTCATGATTGTCATATAATTCTACAATATTTACTCCCTCTTGCCATGCGTGGTATGCTTTGCAAATCCGTGTCTGAACCACTTATTGAGTTATCTATTTTTTCGAAGTGCTTGGAGCAAAATGTTTGAGCGTAGGAAAGGTGTTCCCTCCTGCATTTTTTGATGTCATGGTGCACTTGTCTATTCATCTACCTGATAAAGCTAAGTTTGTCGGACCAATTCAATATCGATAGATGTATCCAATAGAGAGATACCTACGCTTTTTGAAGTGTTTTATTGGTAATATGACTCACCCTGAAGGTCGATTGTAGAGGGATATTTAGCAGTTGAATGTATAACTTTATTTTCAAGGTACTTCAATACAATAAAGACAAAGTTTAATTGTTCGCAGAGAAATTATGATGCTGATATTATTGAATCTGAGGGTGGTTTGACAATATTTTGTGAACCTGGAAAAAGTTTAAAGGGTAGCACACCAGAGAAACTTGATTCAAACGATATGGAGGACGCACATTTTTATATTTTGAAGAACTGTGATGAAATTCAATCATTTCTTGACTAAGTATTGATTTAACCTAATAATTTATATATACCTTGTCTATATGTTTAATTTAAAATAACATGTAAAACTTCAATTCTTTGTTAGGGAATTTTCACAAATTTATAGTGAGAGCTCTCAACAAAGTTCATATGTGGAGTGGAATAGAAAATTCATTAGTTGGTTACAAAAAAAGGTTAGTAGAAATCAAGTATGCAATTAAATATTATTTTCTAAAAAGCTATTTGATGTTGTTAGGTTGCAGGATTATACAAACATGGTGATAGTAAGAGAATGGAAGATTTGCTATCTTTATCACGTGGCCCTATGCCATATGTCACAAGATTCAAAGGCTATATTGTTAATGGATATAGGTTTCATGTGAAAGAGTATGATCAATATTTGAAAACTCAAAATTGTGGAGTGGTTGTAGTAGGTGAGACCGGTGAAGAACAAAACCATATGAATTACTATGGCGAGTTAACCGAGGTTCTTGAATTACAATTTGTTGGGGGAAGAAGAGTGATTTTATTCCGATGTATGTGGTTTGATCAAAAGAGGGGAGTTAAAATGGATGAATATGGCTTTGTAAGTGCTAACCGTCGGCGATATTTGAAAATAAATGAGCAATTTGTATTAGCTAGCCAAGCATCACAAGTATTTTATGCTATCGATCATTCCAATAAAGGTTGGCACATAGTGCAAAAGGTTCAACCTCGTGATGCTTTTGATAATTTGGAAAAAAAATATGATGACTTAGAAGAGTTAGATAACTCTACACAAGTGAAAAGAAAAAGAACTCATTGAGGTTTGGAGCTTTGGAGCTTTGTCATGCTTTCTTTCACTTTATTAATTTTTTTATGCTAATGATTCTTTATAGTATTTCTATGAAAATTTGTTTGATGCACTTGGTCTTTAATGTTACCTTGATCTTACTATAGTAGTAACGGTTCATGCAAGGAATCTATGTTACATGTACATGTGTCTCTTTTCTGAACGCGTTTTCAATTCACATTTCTTCTTATGAAAAACTTCCTAACCTATTTGAACTTTTGTTTGGAAGACTTTGCTCTTATTTTATTTTTTTGTAGTATCTAGGTTGACATGAATCCCTCAAAAACTCTGAAGTATGAAATGGGACAAACTTCTAAAATTCCCAAGCATGAACTCATTCAGCCAGGTGCCTTAGTAAAGGGACTAGGTCAAAGTTTGAAAACTATGAGCACTATCAGAGTTAATGCTGAACAAAGGACTCTGATTGCCAAAAATAGAAGTTACTATACAATAACTTCTAAGTTGAATAAGCTAGTAGATAATAGTTTCCATGTGCATCCTTGTTTTGAGGAAAAGGAAGACAATGCTCCCCTCCATCAAGAAGCTAGAATGAATCAATACACTTTGACCAGTGATGCAAGGGGTCAGGAACAAAGCTTAAGGATTAATGCTGAAAAAAGGACTATGATTGGCGAAAATAGAAATACTACAACAACTTCTAGTCGAAATAAGTCAGCAAAGAAAAGTATCCCTGTGCCTCCTGATTTTAATCCAATGGAGGACAATGACACCCTCTTTCTAGAAGCGGAAGTGACTTGAGATACTCAAAGAAGTGATCACTTGCAAAAGAGTTAGTCTGGTTAATCTGTTTGATCAAGAAATTCGGCTTAGCTTTCTCTACTTAATCTCCTTTGTATTGTTTTTGTTACTAATAGGAATAAACTTCTTATTTTGGTTGACTTCCATCAAATTTTGCAGGTCCAATTGAATTGGATAAGTCCAAAAAAGTTATTGAAGTGCCTCGAGTTTCCCAAAGAAGTGATACTACTATTTTATTTTATTTATGCAACTTCTTTTTGTTAGTTGAATTGAAGTCTTTATTTTTTTTACTTGCCCTTAAATTTACAAGTCCGTTTGAATCTAGAAAGGCAAAAAAAGTGATTGGAGTGGCTCAAGGTTCTAAGGGAAATCAAACTAGTAAGTATTTTCTTGTTGTTACTTGTAAATCAGCAAAAAAATTATCTATGACTCGCTTCCCTAGGAAGATATGTTAGCATATGACTAGCATTTCAGGAACAAGGACCTTTGAGATAAGGGCAATACTAGTCATTTTTTGTGTCAGTAACTCTCCATTCGGGAAGAATTGCAATCCTGCTTCAGCAACATCTTTCTTAGATGTTGTCCATTCCCCTTTCTGTATCACTTTTTGTTTTTTGGCAACTTAAGGCCTGATCTCTTGCAATAGGCATTAATATTAAACTTTGATATCTCTATTAGAGTGAAGATTTAATTTTATTTTAGTCAAACTAAGATGATGTGAGTGGAAAGTTATCTGTCAATCTTATATTAAACGATAATGTTGTTATCTCTCATGGTGAAAGAAGAAGTAACTTTTAGAACCTTGAAAATAAATAAGTATTAGTTGGGCAGCCTGATTTATATTTCTCAAGTACAAATTAAAATGTTTAGACATGAGAGTGCATTTAAATTATAGTCCTCTTATACTTTGCAGGTCCAGTTGGATATGATAGGTAAAAAAATATGACTGAAGTGTATCGAGATGTTCAGAGAAGTGATACTAGTATATATTACTTTCTTTTGTGTAATTCTTTGTTGTTGTTAGTTGGCTGGAAGTTTTATTTTGTTTTAATATTATAATTTGTAGGTCTATTTAAGTCTAAAAAGGCAAAACAAGTGATTGAAGTTGCTAAAGATGCTATGAGAAATGAAACTAGTATGTATTTTCTTCCGTGTGATATTTTTTTTTCTTGATGTTACCGGTAAAATAGCCGAAAAGTTATTTTTCCTATGTATTTGACATCTGATGCTGCATTATGTTTTTTTTCACTAGTCCTAACCATATTAACCTCCATCGATTCTTGATTTATCAGTTGTGATTTTCTGAATGAAAGTTTCTAAAAAGTGAAAGTCACTGATTTGGGATCTTAAGTTTTCCAATATTTATTCCACTGCTAGTTGCCCCTTTCTGTATTACATTGTTTTTGGCAACCTGAGGCCTTATCTCATGCAATGGGCAATGTTCTGCCTATTTTGTCTAGTTGTCACTTGGTTTGGAACTGTACTGTGAAATCACATGGATAAAAGAAATATAGTTGTGGGGATTCTCACATTTGTTCTGGCTGCTTTGTCTAGTTGTCCCTTGGTTTGGAATTGTGAATTGGTACATCTCAAAGGCGAAAGAAATTTAGTGACCTGATAGCATGGTTTGATATTCTGTCTTACAATCTTATAGAGACCAGACCACTGTATACATTAATAATTTCAAACTTGATACCTAAAACATAACTACTAGATCATTTTCCAGTTTCTTTTGATTATTTAGTGCTAATGATCAATTTATATCAAAGAGCATAGTTGACTTACTTTAAACTTTGCAGGTCCAGTTGGATATGATAAGGGAGAAAAAATGACTGAAGTGTATCGAGATGTTCAGAGAAGTGATACTAGTATATATTACTTTCTTTTGTGTAATTCTTTGTTGTTCTTAGTTGGCTTGAAGTGTTATTTTATTTTAATATTATAATTTGCATGTCTATTAAAGTCTAAAAAGGCAAAAAAAGTGATTGAAGTGGCTGAAGATGCTACGAGAAATGAAACTAGTATGTATTTTCTTCTGTGTGATATTTCTTTTCTTGATGTTACTGGTAAAATAGCCGGAAAGTTATTTTTCCTATGTATTTGACATCTGATGCTTCATTATGTTTTTTTTCACTAGTCCTAACCATATTAACCTCCACCGATTCTTAATTCATCAACTGTAATTTTCTGAATGAAAGTTTCTAAAAATTTAAAGTCACTGATTTGGGATCTTAAGCTTTCGAATATTTATTTCACTGCTAGTTGCCCCTTTTTGTATCACATTTTTTTTGGCAACTTCAGGCCTTATCTCTTGCAATGGGCAATGTTCTGCCCGTTTTGTCTAGTTGTCACTTGGTTTGGAACTGTGGATGGGTACTTGTCGAAAACCAGATAAAATGTTATTCTTCATATTTGGTCTAATAGATCTAAAAAGACCAGACCATTGTATACAGTAATAATTTCAAAGGTTGACACCTAAAACTTAACTACTGGAGTATTCTCCAGATTCTTTTGATGGTTTAGCACTAAAGATCAAATTTATATCAAAGAGCATAGTTGACTTACTTTAAATTTTGCAGGTCCATGTGAATATGATAGGACAAACAAGGTGAGGGGAACAAACATTTGTAAGAATGTTTTGCGATTAAGACCTGGAGAAAAGTTAAAAGTCACTTTCTATCAAAATCGAGCTGTTGGGCCGAATTACACCTCATTTACGAGACACTTGGGTTTGATAGTTCGTGATCGTAATATGTGCCCATTACGGGTACACTCATGGATGGATATTGAAGAGCATAAAATTGAGCATATGTGGGCAGCTGTTACAGTAAGAATTACAACATTACTCTATTTTATTTTCGCTGACTTGATATCGCTGCTACTGTAAGAACAATATTTTTTTCTCTTCTTCTTGTGTTTGTTTAGAATACTTTGGTGTTGCCTTTGTTTAGACCTTATTATGGTCTTTGTTTAAGAATAGATATTACCAAAACAAACAAAAAATTCCCCTCCTCAGTCTTACTATTCACTCTATATTTAGTTTCGGGATCCATTCACACTCAGTGTTGAGGAATTTCTACTACCCCTGTTAAACGTAGACAACAATTTGCATCTTGCACCTACATGTTCAGTCTCATATATCGCCATATTACTTCATATACACTGGATGTGTCCATGTTACCCATAGGATGTGCTACTCTGAAACCTTCCATGTAGTAGTTTGCCAACAGAAGCTTCATTCCATTTCATGCATCCCTTAAATTTTAGTCCTCAAAAATTATATATGGGAGGCACACCTTATCCCAAGCAATCAAAGGTGTCTTTCTCTAATCTGTAGTACCTCCCCATACAAAGTTCTTACATAGTTGACATGTAAGATCAACACTTCAATCCATTAATCAAGAACATTAACTTGGAATCAAATGTGTCTTTTTCTGATTCTGATGATATTTTTCTCTATTTCAGGAAAAGTTTCACTGTGATAACATGAATGATGAAAGAGATAATGTTTTGCAACATATGAGAAAGCTTTGGAACAATTGGAGAGGATCGTTGCACAAGAATATGAAATCTAAGTCATTGCACGAGGTTCTAAAAGATGTGCCGATAGGAGTAGACAAGAGTGATTGGGAATGGTTGGTCAAGGAACATTTTTTATCTGATAAGTTTAAGGTATGATTGCATAGCTATTGATTAATATCATTTTATTTCCAAGTAACATATGATTACTGTTTTGGAATAGTTCTTTTGATTAAATGATTTCATTTGTGATCAAGAGGATACAAAGTAGTTACAAAAGTTAATTTAACAATAAAAATAGAATCACTAAACAAGCTTGTGATAATTTCAGCTTGTGTTGTTAATGCAGAGATCAAGTACAAGAAACACAATCAACAGGTCTAAGTTGTGTATGCGTCATCGTACGGGTAGCAAGCCTATAAGAGAGATTATTTACGAACTGGTAAATAAATCATGAAACCCTAAAGGAAACCTCCTTTTTGTATAAAAGATCTTATAGTACTTACTTTTTTTATTGTTAAGGGAGGCAAATATGGTAATCCACCAAACATGGCAACAATCTTCTTTGAGACTCGTAAAAAGGGAAATGAGCTTTTCGAACCTGAAACCAATGAAAAATATGTATGTTTATCGATAAATTTCATCTAACATTTTCTCTCTGGATTGATTCATTGAAATATTTTAAACATTCTTGTATTTTATAGGCTGAAATTCAAGATCTTGTTCAATCTGAACTGTCTCTTACTAATATTGAGGTAGTGGAAAGGTGCTTTGGACCTCAATGCAAAAGTCATGCAGTTGGATTTGGTGGTGGGATAACCACTAAGGAGTTGAAAGGTGGTAGTACTTCTAAGGTTGCGTTGTTGGAAGAACTGAAAACAACTCGAAAAGAAAAGGAATCACTACAAAAGCGTATTGATATTCTAGAGAGTAAATATGATCGCCTTGAAAGTATAGTAGTTCATCAGCATCCATCACCTCCACCAGGTTAGCAAACTTTTCATTAGCTATTCCATGATGTGTATTTTTCAATGAATTTAGTGATGTCATTAACAAATGCTCATCTTTGATAAGGGCTTTGCTAATGTAGTGGTCTGTCTTTCTATGATCAGTTTATTTTAGAGGGTAGACAGTCTTTAGTTGTACTAGTTTCCATGATGAACGAGACTACATGCTTATAGAATTATGCATATCTCTGTTTTAATCAGGATGTATTCCTTTGTTCTGAACTGAGTTTCTTTCCTACATGTTCACCTTAGTATTTGTGTTGCGTGTTAAATCCTTATTGTGTTATAGTTTTAGAATAATTATCTCTAAACTTTTTGAACTTTCTTTTTTTTTGAAAAATTGCTCAATTTTTATTCTTGTCCGGCTTCAACTTCAGCTTCTCTTCAAAAGTTTCACAGCTTTACAGTATTTCTCTTCTGTTTATAATAAATCATGTACATAAAATATTCGATTATACGTGCTGTGGTTACCAGTCAATTAGGGAATCAAAGAAATTTTACTCCTTGTACAAAACTAACAAGAATATAAAACTGAAGTTTGATGTTCATCACTGGTAGTCTCTGTATATTGGTTGTGGATTCCATTTGAGATGCAAGTTCAGTTTCCCTGATTTAACCTCGGCTAATTCATACGAGTCTTTGTATTCACCTTCAATTAGAACCCTTTTTAAAGTCAGTATGCATTTTCCCATGAAATCCTTTCCAAATGTGTCATGGTCCCAGACTTCCAGCATTAACATGTCATGTAATCCGTCCTCAACAACAAAGTCAAAAGTTTTATTCCATACCGGGTTTAGACTTTCATTTACAACCCTGGTTTTGCTCTTGATTTGAGCCTTCTTCATGATCAGAACGACATAGGGGTCAGCCTTCCCCCCTATATCAGCTGGGGGCAGGTCATTACCTGATACCACGGTAACAGAAATTACCCCTCGTACTATTACCTCTCTTCTATTGTTGATTTCACTTCCGTTTGGACTAACTTCTTTTTCTTCTGCCGAGTTTTTAAGAACTCTCTCTAATGAAGTCATTGACTCATTTTGAGAAAAAAGCTTACTTAGCCCATTGTTCATTCTATTCGGGCAGTACAATAGCTCTAAGTGCACCTGGACCCTATTTTTCTTATCTCTCTTTATTTCCAAATCTTTCACCAACTTCAACCAGATATCCTTCACTTTACCAGGCTCAAGCTCATTCAAAAAGATATGGGCACATCCAATTAGTTCAGCTGACTGATGCCCTTTATCGTCATAGATTTTTACCACCAAGTGTTGTGTCAATGGATCTTCGACTACGAACTCAAAATGCCCATATTCCAAATTGGGTTCAAATCATTGTTAGCTCTTCTTCATTCTGTCTCGTAGAGGGCCTACATATAATACAACAAAAGGATTAGATTTTCCAATGAAATCTTTCTTTGTTAATTCCTTTGCTTGAACAAGTTTCACCTCCAATACTCCGGTAGGCTTCAGTTCAAGGTCACTATAATCCCCAAGTAAAATGGGAATAACTTTTCGTACTGGCCACATGATAGAGTCTTAAACAGCGTCCTAGATGGTTCCCTCAATTGCATTAGAAAGGCCAGGAATTGCTGTCATGTCACCACCAATTACATAAGCGTAAAATCCAGCTTTTTCTTCTGCCTTGGAGAATAGCATACAGCTCTGAAGCAAGGAAACTCATCAACAAGTGGCCTGAAGATGAGCTTGAAAATACCAGTAAACCCAATGTTTTTCACTTGCACTGGTAATGCTACACCTACATAAGTCTTGATATCGAGTATTATGCTTGGATTCCCATCCCATTGCATCTCTAATTCCATAGTTATACCCTCACTTCCATCTTCAATAATAGAAATCCATGTGAATTGTGGATCAGCTGTACCAAGAATGAACTTTGAAAAAAATCACAGGCCTATATTGTTCCGAAATTGGCTCCACACTTTGACTTTACTAGTTCTGATGCTGATGAGAATCAAGCAATGCCAACTTTTTGGGTTCTTTGTTGATTAAATGATTGATTTATGCTTTAAAAGTTATAAGTTATAGCTATCCGGCATTTTGTTACGAAATGACCTCAAATTATTATTTTTTAACAGATGAATGTGATGAAGAATGTGATGAAGATTAAAGAACGTGTTCTTGAAGAATTGTGGTGCCAGCTGAAAAGAAAGATTATATTTTTATTGTTGGTACAGATTTAGAGGCGTTTTAACCTGTGCAGCTATTTCATTTTCTCAATTTTTAGGATTCGATAGATGTCGAACATGTATGTTTTATAATCTTATGTCGAACATCTATGTTATTTAGATCTTATGTTGAACATCTATGTTTTTTTAGATATTGTGTTGAACACACATTTATATGCAAGTTTTCCAGTATGTTTTCGTTCATGGCAAAATAATTATGAAATTTTATATTAAATTTTTATGGCTTGTGAAAAAAAACAAATGATATTAAGATCCGGAACTGCTCGAGGAACATAAAAACTATATATAATTATTTGAAACTAAATTTGTAAAACAAACTTTGTCGTTAAATTTATTAAAAGCAACGGAAGGAATTTAAACTTGGTCGGTAAAAGTAATGTAATCAATGAAAGAATTTGGCCACTAAAAGTACTTGTAACGACAGGAAATTATGGTTTTACTTCAATATTTTAACGACCAAATGACCATCAACGAAGGGAATTTGTGGTCGTTGTTAGTAAATGTAGCGACCGGATTTATCGTTGTCGCTAAGTGATATCTAATGACTGGCAATGCAATCCAGTCGGTAACCTTTAACGACGGACGACGAACAATTTTTGCCCGGTCGTTATAGATCTTTAACGACTGGATATGGACTTTTAACGACCGAATTTCCTTTCGTTAAAAGTCATTTTTCTTGTAGTGGCATCAACAATAACAATAGCCTTATCTGGGTGATATAGAATACTCATGTCATATTCCTTGAGTAATTCCAACCACCACCTCTGTATGAGATTAAACTCTTTCTGACTAAACACATACTGAAGTTTCTTGTGATCAGTGAATACATCTACATGAAAACCATAAAGATAGTGACGCCATATTTTCAAAGGAAATACTAAGACAACCAACTCTAGATCATGGGTTGGGTAGTTCTTCTCATGAACTTTCAACTGTCTGGAGGCATAGGCTATAACTTTTCCATTCTGCATTAACACACAACCCAAACCAACTCTGGACACATCACAATATATAATAAAGCCTTGTGTACCTTCTGGTAAGGTAAATACTAGGGAAATAGTCAACCTCTTTTTCAATTCCTAAAAACTTTTCTCACATGCTTCAGACCACTGAAATTTCACTGTTTTCTAAGTCAACTTGGTCAAAGGGGATGAACTAGATGAGAACCCCTCCACGAACCTTCTATAATAGCTAGCCAACCCCAAGAAACTCTAAATATCAGTTGGAGATGTGGGTCTAGGCCAATTCTAAACTGCCTCTATCTTCTCAGTGTCAACTCTAATTCCATCATTGAAAACAATGTGGCCTAAGAATGCCACAGACTCAAGCCCAAACTCACAGTTGGAGAACTTGGAATACAACTCTCTATCCTTTAGAGTTTGGAGAATTGTTCTGAGATGACTAGCATGATCTTCCTCATTCCTTGAATAGATTAGTATGTCATCAATGAATACGATAACAAACATGTCTAAATAATGCTTTAATACTCTATTCATAAGGTCCATGAACGCTGCAAGCACATTAGTTAAACGAAACGACATGACCAGAAACTCATAATTACCATAACGGGTCCTAAAAGTTGTCTTCGGAATGTCACATTCCCTTACTCTTAGCTGATGGTAGCCAGATCTGAGCTCTATCTTAGAAAAACAAGTGGCACCCTGAAGTTGATCGAACAAATCATCAATTCTCAGAAGAGGATACTTATTCTTGATGGTAACCTTGTTCAACTAATGGTAATCTATATACGTCCTAAGGGAACCATCATTCTTCCTTACAAACAAGACTAGGGCACCCCAAGGTGAGACACTTGGTCCAATAAAACCTTTCTCTAGAAGATCTTTCAACTGCTCTTTTAACTCTTTCAACTCTACTGGTCCCATTCTATATGGCAGAATTGATATAAAATGAGTATCAAGAAGAATATCTATACCGAAGTCTCTTTCTCTCTCAGTCCCCTCTGGGAAGATCATCCTGAAAGACTTCTGGAAACTGTTTTACCACTGAAACTGACTGAATAAAAGGTATCTGCACACTAGAGGCATTAAATCCGACTAAGTGATAGACACACGCCTTGGAAACTAACTTTCTTGCCTTACGGTACGAATTAAAATGACCGTTAGGCACTGCTAAACTACTTTTCCACTCTAAGACTGGCTCATTTGGAAACTGGAACTTGACAACTCAAGCTCTAAAGTCAACTGAGGCATAAC